TCTCTTGAGTGCCGCTCTCTTCCCCAGAACACAAGAAATGGTAGTGTCCAATCCAGATACCTTACACTGAGACTTTCAGTGTAGGAGTAAGCAGGACAAGAAAACATAAGAACCTTTGGGATAGCACACACTGGCTGTGTCTAGACTCATGGTTATTCAGCTATTGAAAAGACAAATGTGAGAGGCTGGGGTTAGCTCAGTAGAATGTTTGGCCAGCCCTAATCTCTGGGCTTGATTCCAGTACCATATAAAAACCAAACATGGAGATGCTCTCCTGCAATTTCTTTTTTTATTTAAATTCTTTAATTACTACTCATATTTACATATCCACCCCCCCCATTCCCTTGCCCTCCCATCCTCCCATGTTCCCCACCAACCCCCCTAACTCATCCCCCAACTCTGCCCCAGGGATAGTGAGGCCCTCCACCAGGGACCTTCAAAGTCTGTCATATCGTTTGGGGGAGGGCACTCTCGGGAGGCAGAGGCAGGAGTAACAGGTATAGCTTAAGCTTGGTTAAGGAGCTTGAAGCCAGCCTGGGATAAAGGAGACATGTCAAAAAAGAAAGAAAAGAGGTTGGGGAGGGGAAGAAGAGAATCCCTAAACCACCTATGTAGTGCTCTCAGGTGTTTCTCACAGGCGAGCTCCCAGAAAAGCTGGATCTCATTCCCACTGTCTACATTGCTGGATCCCGTTAATCCCACAGACACAAGGAGAAAGACCTCTGACTCAAACCAACATAGCCAAATTAATTAAAACAAGCTTTTTTTTTTTTGTTCGTGTGTATACAGCTGTCTTAACAAGAGATCAGTATTGGCCATAGGGAAGGAAGATAAGGGTTTTTATAGTTCAGTAGTACGAGTTTCCAAATGGGGAATTTGGCAGACAAGCAAGGTTACAGAAGCAGAACATATGGGTAACAAGTTGGTCATAATAACCTGAAACAGAGACATAGTTGCAAGGTGCTCATAACAAAGTGGTTATAATAACCTTTTCAAACTAAAGCATGGTTGCCTTTTCCTGGAACAGACAGTACAGAACAATTTGTAGTTAAGGATACAAGTGGGGCATGGCCCAATCCTTGAGAAACAGATTTAATCATAAACAGGAATAAACCTAGTTTGTCTTTATTATAAGATGGCTTTCAAGCCTAAGATGAAGCCAGGCTGGTTCACCATTCCACCATGTCCCTGAGCTCATGTCACTGAGGTGCAAAGTGCCACTACTTCCCAGCCCCTCATAGGGAGCACAAGTCTAGAAGTCAGTCAACTAGAAGACCATCCTTTCCTCCTGCTTTCCCCAGGTAAGCTTATCATTTCCAGACAAAGGGATGCCTCTGTGCAGAACATGGAAGCTGAACAGCACCCAGAAACAGCACAGGGATGATAGTGATAATTAGCAGTGACTGGGTTGATGGTTATCAAGATGCTGAAGGTTCCTCTCTCCAAGGAGCACTTTCCTTCTCCCTGTGATTCAAACACAGCAAGCCAGCCTGCCCCAGACCTATTAGGTTTAGGCAAAGTATCTCCCACATGTTAAGGCTAGAGTTGCCTTGCATCTTACTTCTCTTGAAGAAAGCAAGTGTGTAACAGTAGTGCACTGAAAGTTGTACACAGAAATTTGATTTATTGCCAACACCTTTAAAAGTTATTTATCAACCACTATTGTTAGAACCCATACCATCTGCATGCAGTCTCCTTCTCTCAGGTCTGCTATGAAGAGCTGATTCGTCATACCCTATTGTAGCCTCTCTCCCATCACAGCATCCAAAACAGTCAAGTTTCTTCTCCTTGAAACAAGCCATTCCAGATAGCAAAGCCCTAAATAGAAAAGGGTTACAAGCAGGACAAGTGGCTACAGCACTTCACATACTATGGAGATCCATTGTTTTGCTAGACACCCCTGAGTCAGAAATGTTTGTGGGATTCTTCAAGCACCTACCTCAGCCTGAGCTACCTTAGTCTGGTTTGGCAATGTTAGCAGACCATCCCCTCATGACATAGTACCTCCTGCCTCCCTACCCCTTTACATTAGGGTCACTATTGCTGTGATAAACATGACCAAAAGCAACCAAAAACAAAAATAAAAAAGAGGGAAGAAAGAGTTTATTTGGCTTTCAAATCCTGACTCACAGTTCACTGAAGGGATCCAAGTCAGAAATTCAAGCTAGACAAGAACCTGGTAACAGATGTTGATGCAGAGGAAATCGAGAGCTGCTTATTGGCTTGTTCTTTGTGGCTTGCTCAGCCAGCTTCCTTATAGTCCTCAGGACCACCAGGCCAGGGGAAGCCCCTCCCATAATGGGCTGGGCCCTCCCACATTAATCACTAATTAAGGGAATGCTCTACAGTCTTGCCTACAGCCCCATCTTATGGAGGTATTTTCTCAACTGATGACTATCTTGTGTCAAGTTGACATAAAACTAGCCAGCACAGAACCTTAAAAGAGCAAAGATGCTCTCTGTACAGTCTGAGGATTTGGCTTCAGACCCTGCCCATGTTGCCTGCTGGGGAGATGATGTCCTCACTTTGAGGGCCCGTTCCTCCCCAACACTTAATGACTGCCTCAATTCCTTCAGTGTATTTCTTAATCTTATCAGCTACTCAATAAAGAACTATGATTGTTCACTAATAGTCATCCCACTGTGTGTCCTTTGATGGCAGGTGCTGCCTCCTCAAGAGCTGTTACACTGTGGAGGGAACTGGCCATGAATAACAATGTACTTCATCATGTCCTTCAAATATAGATTAGGAAGAGGTGTAAAGGGCCAGGGCTGGAGAGATGGCTCAGCAGTTAAGAGCACTGACTGTTCTTCCAAAGGTCCTGAGTTCAATTCCCAGCAACCACATGGTGGCTCACAACCACCTTGAATGAGATCTGATGCCCTCTGCTGGCATGCAGGCAGAAGACTGTATAGACTGTATACATAATAAACCTTAAAAAAATAAAAAATTAAAAAAGAACGCTAGGGCCTCTAGGAACTCTTCTTGGGTGATCTAGAGAGATTTCCTGGAAAGTCTAAAGCCAGGAGGAAAGGTAGCAAAGGAAAACCAGGGAGTGATAGGGATAGCCAGGGCACCCTGCAGCAGGGAAGGCTGGAAGTAAGAAAAGTGGTAAATCAGGGTCATGTGATAGTTCTACTTTTAGTGCCTTGTTTTGTTTTAGTTTTTGCTTTTTAAGGAATGATCGATTTCTATGGTGGTTTGTCAAATTTGCATTCCCAATTTGCATTGTGAAGTCACTATGGTCACTTGTCCTACCTATAACCCTTCTCCATTTAAAGCTTTGCTATCTGGAGGGACCTGTTCTGGGAGAGAGAGGAACTTGGTTATTTTTGAGTGCTGTGAGGAGAGAGGAGTTGCAGCGGAGTGTGGGTGGTCTGCTCTTCGTGTGGTGTTGCAGTCAAGCCCAGGGAATCACACTAAGCAAACATTCTACTATGATACCTCTGTATTTTTTGCAGTATATGAGGATCCCCCATATCTTTGACAGCATGTTATTTTCTTTGTGATAGCCATTCTGACTCGAGTGACATGGAATTTCAGCATAGTTTAACAGACATCATGGAGACCTGCACATTCCACCACAGCAAAGTTATGGGATCAGCCTGGGCGCCCATCAAGAGATAGAGAGACAAAGAAAACCTGATACTGGTATATGCACAGTGGAGCTCAGCCATGAAGAGTGAAATTCTATTGTTTGCAGCCAGGGATCATGATAAGAAACAAAACAAGCCAGACTCAGAAAGACAAATAAGGAACTTTCATCTATGGATCCTAGACTTTTAGAGATACATAAAACTTCACACACATGCATAAAACCTTTTGTGTACGTCTGTGTATATGATGTTATACGGAAGTAGAAGTGAGGCTGAGAGAGGGAAGGAGACCTGCAAGGAGTGGAGTGGCGATGAGGTGGGAAGAGGGGAGTAAGGGGGTGAACATGGTCAAATATATGGCATACCTGAAACCCAACATTACACATAATCTATATACCAATAAATACTATGTATGTATGTATGTATGTATGTATGTACAGTGTTTGTGTATGTGGGTAGGAGGGAGAAGCCAAATGTCCAGCCTGCTCTATAACTCTCCATGACCTGCTCTATAAATTTGCACCTTAGAGACAGGGCCTCTCACTGAACTTGAAGCTAGGCTAGTCGCCATCCAACACCATCAGTCCTCCTGTCTCCACTCCCCTACATCACTCAGATTACAGGCTCCCCATGGCCACACCCAAACTTTACTAAAGTCCTCAATCTTGCACAGGAAGTGCTCTTACCAGCTGAGGCATCTCTTCAGACCAAAGAATTTTCAAAATAAAGAAAGAAGTGGCCAGCACAACTGGGTGCATGCAAACAAGTAAGGGATCACTGTAATGGGGCTGGGAGAGCCTGACTCAGGAGAACCTTTGGGGATCTGACAAGGAATTAAGCGTTCAACCTGAGCGAATTCGCTACAGTCCTCATAACCACCGCATCAAGGAGACAGAGGCAAAGCAGGCGCTAAGCCCCTCAGAATTCTCCCTGAAAACAGTTCCCACACATTGGATGGTCTTCTCAATGGAGAAGCCCCTAGGATATCAGTGAAGTGTACTCTAGGTGTGTCTGCACATGTCTTCCCATGGAGGAAATTACCCTCAGTGTCAGCACTGTCCCTTTGGGTGCCTGAAGGGTATAACGGGAAAGGATAGAGCCTGCAGCTCAGGTGTTCTCCCAGCCTCTAGGTACTGCCTACCATGATGGGCTGAAACTTCCAGAAATAGAACAAATTCTTCAGCTTCTCTAGGGTCTTCTGTCAAAATGATTAAAACACCCACTATGGCCATGAACCTATTTTTCTGCCCAACCTGGTCATTGTCACTGATGTGACTAACTACTGCCAGAGAGGCATTGTTCTCCCTCCCACCCTGCCCCCCACCCCACTGGCGCCTCATAAGTGCCATCACCATGGAAACTAAACTGGCCAATGAGAACAAACACTAAGCTGCCTCTCCCCAGACAGACCACAAGCAACATTCAGAGGCCTCCAGGGCCCTCTCCTGGATAAACCAATCCCACTACCCCCGGCCATTAAAGTGGAAAAAGGGGGGTCTTCTGTCTGGAATGCTCAAGAGCGAAGGCCAAGCCCATCATTACCCATCTTAGAGTTCCAGCCACATGTGGGGTCTAGCCATGCAGCAATCATCCAGAAGCCCCTAAGGATTGTCTACAGTACCTTGGGAACACCCCACAGCCTTGAGAGCCTCCAGAGGAACACACAACACCTTAATCCAGAGGCATGCAGTATCTCTTCCAAGGCAAGTAGTGGCTACGAAGCTGATGAGGAAAGCAGCAAGGCCAGTCTGGTTAACAGCAAGCAATCTGTGCGGCTAACTAAGCGGCTCACCACCAAGATAGACAGCACCCACAGCAGTGAGCAGTCCATCAATTCCCATCCAGGTGCATTAAAGATTCAAAGGCTGAACAGTCAAGGCCAGGACACCCAGCAGGCTGGAGGGGAAAAGTAACACCAGCCTGGCTAGTAGCGGAATCAACAGCGTGAGTAGCTTCAGCTTCCTTAGCCCAGGCAGCAGCTTCCTATCCTACCAGGTGAGCAGCGGGCTTCTCAGCTCCACCAGCAGCAGGGCCTCCAGCAAGGCCAGCAGTATACAGAACATCAGGGTGGACTGCAGTGAGCAGGACGAGACAAGAAACAACACAAATATCCAGGAGGACAAGGCCAAGGACACAGTGGAAAGCAGCAGCCAGCCCACTGAGGCTGAGAAGCCCAACCAAGAGCCCATGTCTTTATGAGGAGACTCCTCAGCTCCTGCTAATATATAAACATGAGGACCCAACAAACCCAGATTCACCTGGGACATTCATTAGCAATGTAGGAAGAACTGAAGAAGTGGGTGTTGTATCTTCAATAGCAATGACCATCAACAGACAAATCACACACAGGACCATCTGCTGAGAAGTAGGTGATGTGACCATCTACATGGGAAGCAGTTGTAAGAAGAGCTGGAGCAAGAAGCATCCATGCTGAGCCATCTGTATCAAAACCACCTGTGGGAAGAGCATCAAGTACCATGAACCTCTGTGCAAGTTATCCATAGGATCCACCAAAGCCATCAGCTCCAAGAACAACATCGACAACTGACAACCGCTTTAAGAACTGTTAGAAGGTAGAACCTTCCATGATGAACCCATTACAAACAATGAACACCATCTACAATCACCACATGCTCTGAAGAAACAAGTGCTACCAATGCTGGCAGTGACCCAGGTCCAGAAGCATGGGGAATTCGTCCCTGCTGAGCTCTGTCATAGCAGGCATTGCCCACAGAAGCACCAAACTGGGACACAGTACACAGAGAATGCCCACAATGCCCAGCAGCTCAGCCCATCTGGGAACCATCAGGAGAAGCTGGGAGTACTGCTAGCCCAGAAGTGACATGTCTAGAGAGAACTTGTGAGAACTTGTGATATGTCAAAGAACCCCTGTCCCCAAAGAGCATCACCCATGGGAGAGTTGTACTTCCCTCTCTAGTTCTTTGTGGACAGCTGCAACCCAGATTCCATCCAGAAGCAAGGGCTGGGAACACTGTTTGTGTTCCTATGTGGGTCTTAGAAAAGCAAAAGCAAGAAGCTAGGGACAGCCCTTTATGCAGATGGTTGGAACATGCTCCCTATGGTGGCACAATGTCATGGTTACTGCTACATAGACTCAGAGACCAGCCCACCAGGAACTGCTGGAGTGGGAACTCCAGGCCATGGATGAATGTTGCCTAAGAGGGTTGGAGGCCTGAGGTCCTGGCCCCTCCCCTTCTCAGAACAGTGGAACCCTTCCCCAGGCTAAACTTATAGATCTGGGGAACAAGTGGGTGCACAAAGAGGCCAGAGGCATCAAAACATCTAAGAGGCACCAGAAGGAAAAGCTGAGGGGACACCAAAGACAATAAACGGTGTCTGGAGAGGTCATGCATACTTGGTTCTGTGTGTGTCTTCCTATCCAGCCTGTGGGGAAAGCAGCTCAAACTCACTGAAGAACCAACTATAGCTACCACATGGACCACACCCAAGCCAGTCACCTGCCCACTGTTTCCTACAGGCTTCAAAGTCTAAGGTCCAAGGCACTGACAGGAGGAGCTACTTGATCGTAGTTGCCTACCTTTGTCCCATAATGTCACAGGGAGGAAGGGCAAGTACACTGTCTGTGGCACATTTCACCAAGATGCTAATCATGCTCATGAGGGCTTCACCCCTGTGATCCAAACACCTCATGTTATCTCCATCTTCTGGCACCTGGGGTTGGGAGAATCCATTTCAATGTAAGAGTCAGGAGCTGGGGAGATGGGTTATCTGGCAAGGTACTGTTGTACAAGCATGGAGACCTGAGCTTGATCCCACAGGATCCATGTTGTACAGACCTGCAATCCTAGTCCTAGGGAGATGGGGAACAAGAGGATCCCTGAGGCTTACTGGCCAGCCACTCTGCCTGCCAGCAAGCTCCTGATCCTATGAGAGATCTTAAAGAAGACACCCCACATCAACCTCTGGCCCACATGCACTCCTGCAAACATACATGAGCATGTGCCTACACATGTGCCATATACACATTCAAACACAAATCTTGAGGGGGCACAGAGACTCAGCTGCAGCACTGAGACCCCACTTTCTGCATGCCTAGTTCTGAGGAAGGCTTGGCCACCCCTCCCCCGTTAGAAAAAATGAGCACATGGATTGAGATGGAACTGTGGGGGGCTACAGCACACTGAATCTCATCATGGAAGCCACAGACTTCTTAGGCACAATGACACTAAGACCAAGCCTGTCCCTTCCTGTAACAGCCTCTCATGTCCAGCACCACAGATACATCCTCAAACCTAACTGATGCAGCAGATCCCTGTGTGAGGCACTGTATCCCACAGTCCCTCTCCTGACCACTGAGACAGGCAACCCACAGCTTCATCTTTCCCTACACCCATGGGTCCCCTACACCTGCTCATCAGAATCACTGGGAAACATTTAAAACTGCACTGCCCAGGCTGCCCCACTCTGGACTGCAAGTCAGTTGTTCTTAAAAGTCCTCAGACTGTGCCAGCCTTGTGTTGATGGTAAAATACCTACAATAATCAGCAAAGACATGAGGCTTGTGGAGGCAACTGGTTCCAGAGTGTTCAGTCCATTATCACTGGGCCCTGCCTTTTTGGGCCTCTTACAGCACAGTGCATTATGGGAAAGCATGTGGGAGAGGAGACCTGTTCACAGCATTGCAGCCAGGAAAGAGGCGGGAAGGAGCTGTGACTCCAGTATCAGCCTCTAGGGTGGTCTAGGGGTGCAACTACCTCCTAACAGTGCCTCCCACTGAGCCTTTGGGAGACACTCGAAATGTAAATGACAGCACCAGATGGTGTCTGTGTTCAAGCCAAGACTCGGAGGTGTGGCTGCCCTGGGTCTCCTCCTCCCATGCCTTTAACTCTTTGGGGAAAAAAAAAAAAAAAAAAAAAAAAAAAAAAAAAAACCTGCAGGGCCGGGGAGGTAATGGGAATGAAGACTAAAGAGTGTGTGTCCTATACAGAGAAGACAAGGAGTCTGAAGACAGTCTCCTGGGCTTTACATTTTGCTCACAAAGTCAACTGAGACGGAGGGGGGCTTCTAAGAAGATACAGCGATCTGCCTCTGTCCAACGGCAGAGAGCCATCGAGCACTTCCCCAGCACCTGGGCAACCACCTGCTGGCAGCCCCTCATACCATCACCTCCTGTCCCACCCCTGAGTCACATCCACACCACAGTTGCCTTCACACATTCTGTCCCCTCTGCCTGCCGTACCTTAACTTACATGCAGCAAAACCCACCCTGGCTAGTGTGCAGTTGTGACAAATAAGATGTCTCTGTGTAAGTGGAGGAACTGGGCTTTGAACACAGATTCTAAGTCCATGACAACTCTGGCTCTGCTCTGAAGACATTTGCAGACTCCGGTGTCCCCGGCAGAGGGCCACCCATGTACAGAGCTGGGTGCGCTATTTCTTGGGAACTCTGAGCACAGCACCTTCCTGTCCTTCCTGCCTGAGGCAAGTGGGGTGGCAGTCCAAGAAAGGGTCCTCATCTCTCATATCTCCAGCATCCCCTTCCATGTCTTCATCACTGAACAGAAGAGGGAGTAAGGGGGAAAGGAGGGGAAGGGAGGGAGGGAGGGAGGGAGGGA